GAGATGCGCTATGTACACCAGCAGTATCAAGGACGTTCTGCTTTTGTGAAATTATATTTGAGTGATACTTTAGGAGCTCTTATTTAAGATCTATGACACTTGTCAAACGGTTCATTACTTCTCAGTAGAGAATATTACTGAAAAATATTTCATCTTTGAATATCTTTTCATTCGTTGAAATTGTAAAATTTAAAAGTGACAAATAATAATCAAATAAAGACTGTTTATTATTTTTTATATGTTATTATTATTAATGAACAAAAAGGTATTGGACACAAAATGTAACAATTCATATTCTTATTTAATTGTATAATTCTAAGATAGAATTTTAAATAAAGCTTTCAATGATTTATAAAAGCGATTGTTATAAATTGACAGCTTATGTTATTTGATATATTACTTTAATTTTCTTTTTTTTTACATTGATATTAATTAGTTTCTTTTATTTTCTTTTTATTAACTGCGTATTTTATTTACTTACGCTATTAAAAATTTGTAGTGTATATGTAATTAGTTCCATAATTATTTATCTCTCATCCGTACATTTCTTCTCTTTAGTAGATTTAAACAAAGCCGTCTTTTTGCGCAAGAACGAAAGGCATTTTTCCTTAGCATGTACATACATCATGGCTTGCATCTATTTTCTTTACATTGTTTAATTTATATCCGCGTTTTTAAAAATCACAGCAATACTGGTCGTCATGCAAAGTCCTTGTTTTTATAGGGTTTCTTAACTCATTAACGAAGTTTATATAGCCGAAGAAAAAGCGTATGAAAGAAATAACTGGTTATGACTGTTTTGCTGCATCGGTTGCTTTATATTCACATTGGTAACCTGGGTCACAAGCTCCTCCTTTTTCTTATACTGCGTCTTTCAAGCGTATGCGCACCTCACAAAGTTCAGATAAATACGTCGATTCCATTGGATAAAAAGCGATGCACCAAAACAAAACGTTTTCAAGAGAGAACAGTAACATGACGGGGGTATGTAGTTTCTACCGTGATGCAACCAGCATTTTTCTTCCCTTCTCTCTACAATACCAATCGATTTCCTTCTTGCCAATTTCCGAGCTTATCGGTGACTCCGTATAACATCTTCACTAGCTTCTTTATAATGCCTTACATCTTTCACCATTTGCGTTAAAACGTACCAATAATACAAAATAAAACCTAAGTACGTGTTTTTAAAAAACATTAATTACTTCAGATAATTTTGTGTCATAATTTATACCCACTCTTCGATGCAATTATTTCTTACTTCTTGCGATATTTTATTTAACATTGTTCTAAAAATTCTTTTAACTTTTATTTTCTTATTATTATTTCCTTCATTATGACTGACGGCTGAAATTGCTTCTGCAGGAGTTGGAAATCTAATAGGGATTTAGATGTTAATATCTACATTCTCTTTGAACGTCCCTGTGGCCTACTTGTCATATCTGCTTATATTCAATGCCAATGGGAAATCATAAACATATTACGTCACGGAGTGATTTAGCAGAGTTATATAATGCTCTTAGAAGACAGTTGCCTAAATCTCTTATACAAAAGTTTATTTTAAATTCTTCATTAATTATTAGCACATTAACTGTATGTCACCCATATATGAATGACGTTCAATTTTATTAAAAACAGGACACCAAACATATTTTCTTTTATATACGTAATTTCCTTCTTTTTGCTGAAAAAAAAAGATCGAAAAAATATGGCATAGCATTTTTAATTGGTTGCAGTAAACAATTTTTTATTGCGATCTATCGAAGTCCTATACTGATATTGCGAATAGACTAACGCAATCAAAAATTGTTGTAGCCGATTAAATATATTGCCATATTTTACCATCTATAATTTGTTGCAGTAGCCAATCCTTTCTTTTAATGCATAAAACATTATTAAAAAATTATGTTTTTTTGATTTTCGAAAAAAATTTCTTATATAAATATAAATAACACTAACATTTCAAAGAGAATTTGGTGTCGTTTATATTTAAATGATTGAATGATCTTTTAAAAACAAGAAATTCATACATGAATAATGCGTATAACATGGCGGTTGGTATGTCAATAGTATTTTTTTTTTCTATAATATTATATTTATATAGGTACTTTTATTAAATATTATTAATTTTCTGAAATATTTTGTCTTTTAAAAAAATATTATCATGTTATAAAAATAAAAAACGTAAAAAACTTTAACGAACGGCTTTCTCTTCGCTATCATATTTTTTGAAGCTTTTAACTGATTTTATTCAATGTTACAATTTATTTGTTAACAAAGTACGATTTTTTTTTTGTAGCTGTAACAATTTAATAATAGAAAGAAAAAGTTCAGTATAAAGCAAATCCACACACATACGCACACACGTTCCACAAATATCGCGCACCAATAATTATTTAGGAAAAATATATTCCTTTCGCAGAAGTGAATACAGTTTTTTTCCGATACTATGACGCAATGTTACGCAAATATACGTTATTTTTGACCAATAAATAATCCAGTTATAGTCTGCTATTGGCGCAGAGTTTTTATGTAAATTATACTTTACATTTTGAATAACAAGAGCTACATTTTAGCTTTTCTAAATTATAGGATGTAACAAATCTTGGAAATATTTGCAAATACGTAATATGCTGCTATATACGTCTTACAGATGAATAATAGTTATAACGTAAGAAAAGTATTTGCGTCGAGAGAAAAATATGTGCTTAAAGAAATCGATCGCTGGACGGGCGCACTAAAAAGCGAGGTGAAAAAGCGAAGATTAAGAAGGGAATATGCGGCATTCCTTATCTTGTAACGATAGCAGTAGGTATCGCATGAAACGACGTGGGGGAGCTACATTAAGAGATAAAAAGATTCCTGAACCGTAGAATTTACGACCAATTTCGCCCACCGACGCGTTATTCCCGAGTGCGTTAACTTGCGCCTGACAATCGCATAAAGTACTTTCGGCTGTCGGCCGCATTTTATTGACGTCGCAGCAGGGAACACTCAGTGTAAAAGTCACGCTCGCCTGCTACACATTGTGACGAGTGATGAAATAATTACGAGAATGTAATAGTGGTTGGACTGAATTACAAGAACAGTAATTTATTATTAATGACAAGAAGGACCGTGTGATTGAACGTAACTGTAATCTCAGTATAATTGGTAAAATAGCTTCATCCGTAAATTGGAAAGCTGTATAAAATCATAATTTTCTGTTTTCTTTGTAAAAATGTATCTATTCGTTTTATTTGTATACTTTTTGCATTTAAAATCTCCGTTTTCTTTTTTTCCCAAGATTCAAATATACGTTTATCTCGTTTAAAGTGCAAAAGTTTTGGATTTCTAGCAAAACATACATATAAATTTTATGATAACACTATATTAACATTTCTGTACGTTGGAGAATTTTACTGTTGAGCGTAACAAGGGATGTGTGAAGGGGGAAATAAGTATTCCGCTGCGAAATTGGTGGTTGCGGTGAATCTTATTTTATTACTATTATCCTTTCAGAGCAATAAAACTTAAGTTACAACGTTCTAATGTTCCAAAGCGGTTCCGGCATTTTGCGGTGCGCGGTTGTTTACCTGGTGCTCATGTTTACCCTCTTGTGTTCTAGCACGCGCACTATATACATCGCACTACGTGTGCATATACATTTCGTGACTTCATGCATATGCAGGTCCAGCCGCATTATGCATTTGTTGCATGTGCAACGCGTCAAATTGCGTCACGTTTAGTTGCGGACCCGTAGATCTCACGAAATAAAATGGAGTTTCGACATGTGGAAAAAACATGGCCATAGTATATTTAGATTGAATGTGTTGAGAAATGATAGGTGCACATAGAAAAAGACTCACTTTATTTTACGCTCTTTACGTTCTCTCTTTTTCACGCGTAAAACGAGCGAGTAAAAACGCGAATGAGAGAGAACGGAAGGAATACGAGTGGAAGAGAACACAAAACATAGAGTGAGTTCTTTTCTAAGTGCACCTCGATCCCTACTCCACAAATAACCGCGAATACTCGGTTCAGATATAGGGTGCTATCCTGCAAGAGACACAGATAACACAGAGTGAAACACAGTGAATCATTTTCACCTTTGTGGCAAATAACATTGGCAAACAACAAGAATGTAATGATTCACTGTGTTATACTGTGTCATCTGTTTCTCTTGCTGGAAAGTACCTATACTATGTTTGTAGGAAAAGTCATTCTGACCAAGAATGGCTGGCTACCGCAAATGTACTATTTTGCGATGCATTTACGAAGTTCCACGCGCAAAATGTTTTTGACGTCATGCGACACACAATTGATCTTTTTGTTTAACTTTAATTGATTTTCTCTCTTTCTCTCTCTTATAAATGCGAGTAAAACTTTTAATTTTTTAATCTACGTTTTTTTTTTACCAAATATGTCTTATTACCCAATAAACATTCAATTTTATTAATATAAAAAGTTAATTATATAATATTAATAATATATTATAAAAATGTCACATTTTTTAACTTTTACACAATATTTTAAATCTACTTATATTTGATTTTCAAATTTACTTTTTATGATCGCATAAAAATATTTTTAGCGCAATATGATAATATATTATTTCCTAAATTCGTTATATCGGACTTGTCATTTGGAGTCATCAGTTTTAATATTTCGACCTCATTTTTGTATTTAAAAATAATAATACATAATATACGTTTCTATAAGATCAGATTTTAAAAAATTAATTGCTGGGATTAATTCATATGTAAATTTGGCAAATTCTAAATTTAATAGTACTAAAAATTATTTTTTATTTGTATACGTACAGTGTTTATTTTTTATTCTGCGTTTCATATGTGTGTGTGAAAGAGAAAGAGAGAGAGAGAGAACCTTTTTTTAAGTGTTTAATTATATAAATACTCTCCTCCCCTTAAAGGTTTTTTTAAATTAAGATATATTAAAAATATTGTAAAAATCAATTATTTTGAACACGTGTCGGTATAAATTAATAATTGTTATTATTACAGGGTCGAGAAAAACCGAACCTCTGAACGATGTGAGAGGAATATATGGACGGACACCAAACGGACTGGGCAGATTCGGCGAAATCACGAACACGTGGCGGGACGTAAAGCGGGGTGAGTCAACAAATAACACATTCCCATTTACGGATTAAATAATTTTATTTAAAAAATTATACGTGTATCCATAAAATTACAAATCAGTCTGATATTAAAGTTATACATACAATACAACGATATACGCGGAGATGAAGAGTTATATATTGCCACGTTTAAAGCTTTATAGTTATTTTTTCCTGAAATGATTCATAACCACATATATTTTTTTGTAATTTAAACATTTTTTATACAGTACTATTTATAAAATTTTAAACAATAGTTCGAAATTGTAAATGTGAAATTAGATAGTTGTAAGCGTAATAAAAGTTTTCAATTTTTGGTGAAAGCAGATTATTCTGTCTAGTTTAACAATGCTGTTGTACGAGTATCACTTTATAAATCGCAGTGCTGCTATATTTTTAGGAATATGTGTTCTCAATTCTTTTTTGGACTAGTTTCAAATAACGTGTACTGCATTTTTGTTTCTAATGAAAAATTCGAGGAAAAATTGCATTTTCGATCGGGTGCCATTTGTGCACGAAAAATTGTAGTAATAAAAATAAATGATTTATAACAAATAAAATTTTGTGTCTCAAAAAGGGTGAAAATTGTCACTCTTTTTCAAGAAGTAAAATATTTTTATTCTTTTCCAAAAATGGCTATATTTTTACTCTCGTGGAATAAGATTTAATAATAACTCCAAAAAATTTAGAAATTATATTATTAATTAGATAAACAAAAATGCGTTTCTTAAATATTACAAGAGATTTTATAGTTGCGCCACTGAACAGTATTCCCGTGAGTATAAGAAAGGCACACTTTTGATCTTTTTTATCCTAAGCTAGAGAGCACTACTCTGATAGCTTCCCAAAGGACTCTGCCTATAAATATGTATGGTAGCGTCTCCAATTTCTTAGGAAAGAACTATCGAATGCTGAGCGGAGTACATTGCTTGAAAATGCTAAGCAACCTCTGCAGTGTGCCCTAATTATACTGCATCGAGGAGGTCATTTAATCAGGAATTCTTTCTTGCAAATTTACTTGCAAACTTTTCTCGCGATTAACATCCCTGATTCAAAGTTATTCTAATCCAATTGACCTTATTTTACAATCTTATCAATTAACAGAAAGAGATAAACAATACTATATATTTAAAGTGAATTATGTTGCAATTAAATAAGAAAAAATATACAAGTTATTAATATATTATATAATATTATAGATATACATTTTATTAGCTTTTATTCAAGTATAAAGTAATATTTTTTTTTAATGACGTCTTATTGACGTTAAAATAGTATTAAGACGTCTTGATATTTAGGATGTTGTTCTCACACAGCAAGAAGTAAAATGTTTATTGCATTTGTGTGTGTTGCTTACAATGTAATTATATAGATTTATTGAATTCAAAATTGAAAGTTATATATATAATGCATTACTTGTGGTTTCTTCCAGCGTTAAGCCTGCTATGCGTAAAGAAATTTTCCGGCAGCGGGACAATGCTGGAGGCGCCGCCCGGAAGTCGAGAAGACCTCGTAGAGGCAGCAAGAACTCCGTGTACACCCACCGGTAGGTGACGTCGGCGCTTTATCATAAAGTTCGAAGGGAGTTTCGGTAACTCACGAAATTTATTAGTCCGCGTAAACACGCTCCGTTATGGTTCTGCGAGCACCAAAATAGATGGCCACGGCTTGACGCTATTGTACATTGTTGATAGCCGTGATTACATGAAGTAAAATAGGAGCGAATAAAACTTGGCGAATTAAGAACCTTGCCGTCGGCTGTTTATGCATTCAGAACAAAGAAAGTATATTATCGAGTTATTGCGCCAATAAATTTAGTCAAATATGTCGGGATTGCTTCACGTGATCGTATCAACGCAATTATATACTAATTCGAATAATAGTAAATGAAATTATAAAATGACTTTCTTGTTACTTCAACTAAATTTGAGAATTACGTATAATGTGGAGTTGGAGAATATTATATAGTCTTATACAGAGGTAAAACACACACACACACACACACATCCACATTCAAGCACGAGAAGTCATTTAAGACGAGATTGTGATCGTGATGTCAGAAATTTTCCGGTACTAACTAGATAAGCACAAATCCCTCCATCGTCTATTCATGTCCATCCTTCAAACTTTATCACCGCATTACGACGTCTATCACTCACCTCCGAAAAGCAGCCCTACAAATTTCCGCCAACTAGAATACGACGAATTACTTCCTCGTTACGTCTCATTAGATTGCATTTCGTGGCTTTTTCTTGTGAGAACGCAATAAATTAATTTCTTCTTATCTCCGCTTCTGCTTGATAATTGCAATTTTGCCCGATAACATCATTAGAGAATTACCGGCGAGAAATTTTCCATCATAATCGTTCCTCGACGCATTCGCTCTTTGTACCGGTGTCGTAAAAGCATTCCCTCGCGCGGAGGACGCAGGTCGCGAGATGCCATTTCCTTCCTCAGACCGATATCGTCGACACTGGCGGTAATTGACACCATTTTCACGGCTAAACCGCTTTCCAATTTTCCCCTTATTTTCACGATGTAATAACTTACCGAGTCTAGAGCGTAAGTTTAGTCAAGGGATGGGTCAAGGGGGTGAAAAGGCTATTGGCGGCGGCTACTAACGGTATATGTGTACACAGGCGTCTTCTTTAGAAGCCGCCGTCGAGATAAGCTCTCATTGGTGACCGAAGCGTAATCACTATGGCTTCCTGAAATAGCGCGTCAACCCCTTGCACCGCTGATAGTCCTTGCCGGAGGAACTTCGATTACTTGTCAGTAACAAAATAGTGTAATAAGAATTATGGTCGCGGCGAACTTAATCAGATACAATTAAAATTGCAACAGATAATAGCTACCATTAAAATTAAAAGGCTTTTAAGCGTTCGGTCAAATTATTAAAAAAATTAACTAAAGTAGTATGGAGAGAGAGAGAATTTAAATTGTATTAATTTATTAAAGTGTTCTTAATTGGTTTAAACTATTAAATTTATTTCGACGCTATTATATAGAATTAAAAGACAAAAACGAATTCAGTTTGGTAAAAACCAATGTGTTTCATACAGTCAGTATCAGCGCGCGAATGTAGATCCATATACTGCTCGAAACGAACGATTCGCTTTTCCTCGCATTTTCGGTCTCCATTTTTCCGCAGCATTGGGACATCATAAATCTCATGAGAAAGCACTCTCGTGAGTGTTCTCTTACAAGCGAGTGACATGTACGATGATGATCGAGATGCAGATCGAAAAAATTGGCGCCGCTACGAGATAAAGGTGTCTGGGAGTCTCGTGGGACGCGACCCTCTCGTGTCCCATTTCCCTGCGTGGGATTTCCATCTGTATCATAAATCAAAATGTCATCGATTTCGTAGCGGTCGGCCGTCTTCTTCTAATTCTCTTGTGAGCCACCACTGTCGGAATCGTGTACAAATAAATATATAATGACCAATCGAAAAATGTATCTTTTAAAACGACCGGTCATGGAAAGCTTTAAAGGGCTCCCTCCATCTGTTTTTTCTTCCTTCCTTCCTTTCCTTACCTTTCCTTTCGGCTCGCAATTATTCCTGTGTTCGCGAGGCAACTTAGAAACTTTGGTAATTACGTGGAATTAAGCTCCTTTAAAATTTATAACACGACCAGCTTGACACATTAGCAATATATGGAGCAGAATAGACGATTAGAAGAAAAATGCATGTGAGATAAAGAAAGATTGTTACTTTTTAAAGTTTTTTGGGACTTGAATAATAATTTATATTAATATTTAAATTTATATTGAATAAAAGAATGATTTATACTAAATTTCGATTGAACACTACTACACTATTATTATCTATTAATATTTTATAATGCTTATTAGATTATATGAAGCACACATACAATCAAATAATAAATATAATTAAGACGTATTGTACATTTTCTTTAGTGATTAATCCGTTACATTAATAGTTAAACTTTAACGTTAGCAGTTTAAATTTTTAACTTAAAATCTCAAAGGATTATTTTTAACCTGATAGTTCATATTATCGACTTTCTAAAAAAAATACAGTAGCGATTATACATTTTAATACATAACACATTATCGTTAATGCAGTCCATAACGTTTAAGTACATCAGAAAATAATGTGCGCTTCTCGTGAATTCAACATCGAGCGAAGTTATAATGCAGAAACAGTTTGTGACGAACGAGTCAACGCGCACTGAAATTAATAATAACGCGCATGAGGGCATCCCGTACCGTCTGTTGTATTAATTAATATGAAATTCTAGATCAGCAACTGTCACGCCGACAGCAGAGCCATTTTCTTGTATAATTAATAATGATCCTCGAAGTTAATGTAGGCGTTTTGTTACAAACTCGGATAAATACAATCCGTACAGAATGCGAAACGTCGTTAACGATATTAAAAGGTAGGAGAAATTTATAATAGATAGGAATTATATTAAAATGTAGAAGCGCGCATCTAGCATATCGAATATATTAATTACTTTTTGTTTATTAATATCTTTCTTCTTTTGAATATTAAAACAATTCAAGTTTAAAAGATATCAAATTTGCTTTGATTGAATTAATAACGATATTTAAAGCGCGCGCACACACACATACACACACACACACACTTTTTTGAAAAGTATACAGTTTGAAATTTATAAAACAGTTATATAACATTATTTAGTAATGTTTGTAAAAGATGTAATATATAAAATATGGAATGTAAGGTACATGTTATAAAACTTAAAATTGACTTGCTATAATTATCTAATCGTTCGTAAGGTGATTAATGATTAAAGAACACTTGAAAAGATTATTTAAATTATTTAATCAAAGATTTAATCTTGTAATATTTTGAAAATAATAATAACGAATCATAATTCATAAGAATCGAATGAAAGCTCGTATTGTATATAATAGAAACAGATAATACGCTCTCTGAAGCGGCTCGCATCCTATAATTGAGTATATTGTTATGATTTCTAGCACATTGTGTTCTTTTTCTCTCTTTCTCTCACGTATGAGGCATATTGTATGCTTTCAGATTTATATGCGTAGGCGATTATATAATGAAAGCACCGATAACGTGTTCCAAATACAATTTATCGGTGATAATTGACGAAACGGATTATATGCGCGAATCGTAGCTGCGATTATTATCGACATTTTTCTCTTTCCTGTATCATCGAGAATTCGATATCAGTCGTAACGAACGGTTCGATCTAATTAAACTTGCTGATGAGAAGGAACGCGACATTCGTATTGCGCAAATGTTTGCAAATAAAAAAACGATCGTCCTCTACTGATACTTGAGAACTAATTGAAAATAGTCATTTAAGGCCCGGTTTTTCATTATCCAGTTAACTTATGATTAGGCTTAACCTGATATTTTATCCATTAGACTTCATCTATGATAATGTCATAGATAAAGCTCATCAGGTTAAGCTTAACCACAAGTTAACCAATAATAAAGTTAACCAGTTGTACTTGCTTTGTTTATATTAATTAATTAATTAATCATTATTAGAAATTAAATCTGTTATTTGTTACTAAATTTATTTCGCAAAAATGACTTCTAAATAAGAATAATTACAATTAAATTGCTCTTTTTCTGTATTGATTATTTCTTTATCAAATCAGTCTTTCACACTTAAAATAAATACTTATTACATTCTGTACATTGTAAAAAATACTATTTTTTATTTATTTATACATATTATTGCAATTGATGTTATCTACATTTTTTTATATTTCTAGTATCGCAAAATTTAAATTTGAAGAAATATTAAAGTAAAAATGATTTATGTTATTATATAATTATAGCTTATTTATTGATTTTATTTAAGTTATTGATATTATTCGATAATAGAAGTTAATTACATCTATAATGAATTTATCATACAAAGTATTCAGTATTATTATTATTTCAAAAGTACCAAATTATTATTTATTCAACAATTAAATGACGTTACTCTATTATTTTAGTTGAAACATTTTTCTTGTTTTCGATAAAATAATTAACTCTTTATTGCAATTCGTTTTATCAGTCTTTAAGAAACGAATGTTTAAAACGATTTATGATACTACCGGCAATATTTACTAAGCAAACAGGCGAGAAAGTTATTACATAATTTGATGCATTATTACTATATACCATGGTAAACTTCTCCAAAGCAAACTTTTGCGATACATCCGGTAAAGCAAGTGAGTTCTTGTTTGCCTCGTGCGATGCTATCGGGCAATAACGATGATGGCGTTAAGTCGTGCGAGCTGACTTACTGAGGGTCAATAGGGCGTCACGAGTTGTGGCATTTGGTATCGGTTTCAGTCAAGGAACGAGATCAAGTGAATGACTCGTTATGGGGCGCCGGACTCGGTTTTAGGAGCAAATACATCGAGGTCCACTTGGCTAACATTGAATAATTCATCAGGGTCCGACCAAGCGTCTATACGCCATCAGTGCTATTCCAATATAGCCGTTGCTCCGTTCATCACGGGCTATTGATTGGGGTGGAGGTTTTCCATTCTCTCTGCGCCCACGTCTGTCTCTACACATCA